CGCTGTGGCTCCCGTCCGCTCCGCTCTGAGTTCCTTGGAGATGGTAGAGAGCATGCGGAAGATGATTAAAATGAAAGCAGCAAAACATGTGAAAATTATCCATGGTTTCCGCGAATCATTAAAAATAATTACAATTCATTAATTCTTTTTTTTTTCATTAATTTCATTTAAAAAAAAAATGTCATTAATTTTTATAATTTATTTTTTTTTTTCGGTGTAACAATAAACATATACCGATCCGAACCGAAAACCGTGACCACAAAACCTTGAACCGAACCGTGGATTTTGTGAACCATTCCACCCCTAGTAGGGATGTAGCAGCTCAGAGAGGTAGGGTGGGCTAAGGCCGGTTCAGAGCTTTAACAGCAAAAAAAAAAGATTTTAAATTTAATCCTCAAATTAACTGGCAGCAAGTGTATATAGACTATAAAAGGGGAAATATGATCAGATTACTTGTAGTTGTTAAGAGACGAGCAGCAGCATTCTGTTCCACCTAAAACTGGGAGATAAATACATCTCTGACTCCCTTATAGAGTGCATTACAGTATCAAGCCAAATGGCTACAAAGGCATGGATTGCTGTTTATAAATGCTGATTAGTGGATAGGTTGAACTTTTGCTAGTTGCCTCAAGTGAAAAAAAGCCGCATTTTATAACAGCTCTAATATTAGTATCCACCTTAGGTCAAGTGTCTATTTTAACCTCTAAATTAGCAATAGCAAGAGAGTAACTGATAAAATAAAGAGCTATTTTATCCGTTTTGAGGAGACATCTAAGAACAGAAAGTGATGAACTGAGGCAACTCTGAACTACGGAAGCCCAACCAGCGGATTGTTGGTAAACAATCTTGATTTTCCAAAAATTCTCATAACCAAAAGTTTTAATTAATTAATGATTAATTATTAGCTCAACCATAATAAGGCCTTTATCGTGCAAAAGGTCCAAATAGGAAAGTGTAATGAAGGGGAAATATATATGTATATGTATATATATACATATATATATATATATATATGTATATATATACATGTATATATATACATATATACATATATGTATATATACATACATATATGCATATATATATACATACCGTATATACATATATGTATATACATATATTCATATTTATTCATATTAAAAATCACTGAATGTTAGTTGAACATATGAAGACATAAAATGTCATCATTTATTTTTCATAAAATTTGGGGTTAGGGTCTGCATTTAAAAAAAAAATAACAAGACCAGTCTGTTCATCTCATTTCTATTATTTCTTATTCAATAAATAATATATATCTCAGTGAGGAGGCTGGATTGTTTCGCCTTTGAATGTTCTGTTCTAGAGAGGTCCAGTGTTCCAGAGATGGGGGGTAGCCTCTATGTTCTGCCAGCTCTTTTGGTTTTTCTGCCAAACATGAAGATTGGTAGCATTTCTGCTAAAAAAATTACTTTCTCCTGACTTTTGCTCTGATTGGATTGATACGTGGGGGAGGGGTTAAAATGTTAATAAAAGGAGGTCAGATCAGATTATAAGAGCGTTTATATGAGTTGTTTGGTTGTTAGAGTAGGAACGTTCTGACATAATGGATCAGATCTTCGGTTTGAGGGATTATTAAGTTATACTTTATATTCCTCTGTATTCTCTACATATATATGCTTTTGTTGTGTGATATAAATAGGATCAATTTATGTTTATACAGCCCCCCACACACATATATATACATATAATTTATATAGCGGAAGGCAAACAGATCTGCTAAATCACTTTGGCACAAATCCCTTTGTACCTCCTGCTCCAGCGTACAAACATGTTTGAACCTGCTTTAAGATGTGCAAACCTTCAGGCCCTAAGGCCCCTACACCACATTACAGACCTGTAATCAGTGGATCAACAGCCCAGACCTGGGAGGTCCTCTCTTTGAATAGAGTGGAGTGATGCATAGAGGACCTGGAATTCCCTCTTTGTGTAACTTCCGGTCAACTTTGCTTGGATTGTAACAAAGAAAGACCTATATTTTGGATCACATTGGTATTTTATTGTCGTGATCACAACAGAGTGTAAAATATTTGCCAGGTTTGGAATAATAATACTAATAATATGCCTTTTTTCCATTTCTTTCCTTTTAATGAATAGGGGGTGTCACAGACACTTTAAGTGTAAATTCACTTATGTGAAGAAAATTTTGTATTTTTTGTTGCAACAATATATATATATATTTATTTATTTTTTTGTTGTCACCTGTGCAACCCATGCTGTGTTAATGACACGGTTAGATCTTACTGGACTGGAACCTACAGAGTGAACACAGGAAGGCTAACGTTATCAGTTTATTTTTATCATATTAGGTTTGACTGGTGTAAATGTAGGCAATGTCACAGTGTGTCGCTGCCTCAAAGCCGTTATGCATGAAATATCTGCTAAAACAAACAAATGCGATCAGCTTGTGATCTACTGGGTACTATATCAGCCAGAGCTTATAAGCACACAGGCGTTTGAATCCAGGCGTTCAGTGATACATAGTTATGCTAAATACTATCTGCAGATTCAACCATATATACCAGGGAATAAGATGGTTTTATCTTTGGAGGTTTTTTCTTTCGATGTTTGCAAACATTTATCTGCTGCTAGTTCATGATGTGTTCTGACTTCTTTTCCTTCCTCTCGTTTCTTGCAGATGTGAGAGTCAATCTGTATATTCTGCTTTTTTTTTCCTTCCTCTCTTAGTCTCTTTCAATCTCAGTGTCAACTGCATAGGATTATCCCCAAAGGCAGTTTTAATAAACATCACACCAAGTGGAACACTGTGAAAAAAGAAACGGTTGTTTAACAGTTCTTTAGTCCTGCTTTCATTTCATAGTGGTTATCATGATTTTATCTGTTTGTTTTTTGTTGTTTTTTTTGCTTAAATATAAGCCTTTCTTTTACAGCCACATGCAGGAGCAGGAAAATGTAAATTATTACATCGATGACAGGCCTGTTGAAGCTGCAGCAGCTATCAGGTAGGGAAATAGGATCAAGTGTAGGTAAAAGAGTAAAATCATAATCAGAAAAGTTACCAAGCAGCAGGAAGGGTCTGACCACACCGACTTGAAGATCAAGGCTGGTATCTTCTACAAATCCACATCCACTGTCATCCTGCAGCTCCTCCACCTGCACAGCCTCTCCCTCTGATCCATCACTCCTCCTTTCCAGCAACTTCTTGCCTGTCACAGTGGTCACGCGGGTGGACTGCTTCTTCAGGCGGTTTTTGGAGAAGCCCTGGATTTCCTGAGCAAGCGAATGCATCGTACCTGGGAGAAAACATCAGATTTACCAAATACATTTCATCCATCATTTGATATGACGGTCAAACTGTAGATGGAGGACAGACAGATGTGGTTTGCTTCTTTAAAAAATTACAGTTTGCTGCATATTAAATTGGAAAAACATTTTTTTAAATGTGGAACTCTGGATTTATTTAATTAATTTTGATTCATTCCATAGTTACACAGATGAAAGGTTAACAAATGTGGAAATTTAGAAAAATAAAAAAGGAGAAATTAGGATCTCTAAATACAGATCAGCAAGGAAGTTAAAGCATTGCAACAAATGGCTCCTCCAGTTGGACAATGACCAACTACACAAAAAAAAAAAAATTCCCGGGCAGAGCTAAAAATGGTTCCTTGTTCATTACTCCTTTTTTATTTATTGCAGATTTGGTTTTTTATATGGACAATATTACTCAGGGTGCACTTCCACCAGGGGACGGCAGGAATGCTGTGTCACTTCTGCCTCTAAACAGGTTTCCTGTTGCTGTCTGTCATTTCCAATTAGAAGGGATTGGGCTCCTCCTTGTGTTCTGCAGTTTTAACTAAAATAAAATGGCTAAAAACATAATATATTGCTAAACTAAATGGCGATTTTACACCTTGTTGATATAGCATTTAAATGAACAACTGTTGTTCTTGGTTAAATCAGAGAATAAAAGAAGAACTTAACTTGAAATGATTTAATGTTTCTTCTCTTAATTATAGCTACAATAAAAAACAGACTGAAAAGCAGCTAAAATATAAAAAGTATTCTCTGTTTAGAATCGGTAAAGTTATGATTGTTAAAACCTGCTTTTAAAATTATTTTTTTAACATAAATCAAAAATCTAATTTATCTATAAGTTTATACACATAAATTACATGTATTTATACCAATTGTTTTAAAAATATTATTTGTAGATCTTCATAGCCCCTTTTTGGTGTTTTCACTCCTAAATTTTATGATTAAAAAAGATTATCTGTGACTTTATGTAAATGGCCTTGAAACAATATTTGTAGTGAATAAGAAATATAAAATTAAACATTATTAACCTTAAAAAAATTATTTGTAAGGCAAAGGTTACATTTATTTCTTTTGAAAGCTCAGAGACAAAAATATGTGGATCCGACCTCTGCTTGCGGCCTTCTTGTCTGTCTACATACTTATTCCGTGTCTTGTGAACATATTTAGATTTATGGTTATCCTATTTATACCAGTTTTTTTACTTTTACTTTTAAAACAACTGTATTTGTTGTGCCATCTATCAAATTAGTGTATTTCTTTATGAGGGTGTTTCACATTACGTCTTCATGACTACCTCATTTTTAATGGCTTTGACAAATCTTTCACAATATAAAGCTGTCATTTTGGTCTGTTCATTAATCTGGAAAAAAAAAATACCTCATCCATGAGGAAATTATTAAATAGTCTGCATTTAAAATTTCAAAGACATTATAATAGTGATGATTACTACGGTCCGTGAACGCACCACCAGCAGCCCAGATCCTCATCCCCGGAAAAAAAAAAAAAAAAAACAGACAGGGAGACAGAGGGTGGAGTACAGGAAGCTGCTATCCCTGAAAAGCCTCATCATGGGCCAAATCTAACCACTACAGAAATCACGGCTTCTCCTTCTTTTCATTGTTTGGACCAGAAGCGGATATTCCCATAATATTGATTTTAATTTTGGATTGGAGGATTAAAGCGAGAAGATGTCTCGGGGAGTGATGCAGCCCAGCCAGCAGAAACTGGCAGAAAAACTCACCATCCTCAACGACAGAGGCATCGGGATGCTGACCCGTGTTTACAATATCAAAAAGGTTCGCTCACACAAACACCAATATTTCCTCATTATTTTCAGAAATATGTGAACATGTTGAATATTTCAGTTGATCTCAGGCTGCTGTCACTTAACAGGGGAAATAACGCCCTAGCAAACTATTAGCAAATATCAATTGATGTTTTTTTGCCCTCTGTAGGCCAATGCAGCTGTAGAACTGTGTCACACATATTTGTCGTGATGTGAATGAATAAAATAAAATGAGGATAAAGGGAATTTTCCCCCAGTTCCTCCTCCCAGCATCCCTGTTTGTAGCTGCGGCTAACACAAACCGTCGCGTTAGCTTGCGGTAAAAGTTGTCCGCCGCTTTTCGGGTTTAAAGCTGCTTTCCGGTCAAATTAAAACCAGATGTTGATAATTATTTCGATGACAACCTTTATCTAAACACATCAAACGCAACAGTTAAAAATGAAACGAGCTCTGTCGTCAAACCTGTAGGCCTTAGCTGGTACTAACGGCTAGCTAGCATCGGCTGTAATGGCGGCGGCTCCTGGTTGATCCAGCAGGCGGGGCGTCGGCTCTGCTCGCCGAAACCCCGATACGAAGCGCCGAAACCCCGATACGAAGCACCGAAACCCCCAGACACGAACCCCCCCAGCTCTCCACCTACCAGCGGAGGCTGTTAAGGCCCGAACCGGTCTGCTTTCCCCAAGCCCAGCCTGCGGCTATTAGCTGTTAGCTTGATAAAGAAAATGAAAGAAATGGGAAAATGAAAACTGGATCGCCGTGATTTTTTTTTTTTAAATATTTTCTTTCATTTAGATTTATGCAGAAGGTGTTTCACCAAGTTCTTTATTTTCTTTAAGGATGGTGCACGTAAAACCCATTGATTGTGTTTGAATTTATTAGTGATTCTATCCAGGGCTGCAACTTTTCACCAAACCTCGGAGACAGTTTGGACAGGGAAGCTTTGATTGACAGGCTCTTAGGATCTAACTGAAACAAAGTGGGAACATTTTTATTGTACAGTAAATGTTACTGAATAAGTAGTTATGTGGAAAACATTTCACACAATATACATTATTTTCTATATTCTGGTGATTTTGAATAAAATAAAGCAAAGAAGTATGGACCCTACTAAAATATTTGCATCTTAAATGTACTGTAAACTAAGAATTTCCCAACTGTGTTTATGAATTATTCTATGCAGTTCAAGTAAAATAACAGGGAACTAATAATTGATTACTGAAACTAATACAGGAACCTGTGCAATCTACACTGTATAATTATTTGGTTATAGACTAACAATTAAAAATCTGATCTCATTATCTTATTATTTTATTTTTTTACAATTGACAAAACAGCAAAACAATTGAGAGCTTCTGGGAGGCTGTAGATTCTATGAAAACATACCATGACACTAGACGGCACTTCTCTGGATGTTTCAGTTGGAAAAATGTGATTGAAATGACGTTTTTGAATATATTCAATAGATAAAAGAGCCAGAACACACCGGTTGTGTACGACTTTTTACTCTCTGATCCAATTGTTTTCCACGTCACACTGACTGCATATACAGGGAGGCTACGACTAGTATATGGTATACACAAATTAGAACAAATTCCCACATTTGAATTGGACAGATTATGAAAAGTTAATTAAAAAAATACCACCTCTTTCTATAAAGCGAAGCCCCACGTAAATGAGTCTGTGCAGCATCTCTAACCTGAACACATAATAATCAAATGCCTTTGGTGAGAAAATATTGGGATCTATTTCTAAAGAAAAGAAAAAAGCAGCAATACAGGCTGTGGGATGGTTTATATGCTGACTGAGGCAGTGAGAGGCCATTCTCAGAGAGAGATCTGTGATTATCCAAGTTTTTCTTTCTTTTTTTCATAAATCGGTGAGAGAAACGGCGCGCCTACCTGATCTGTCTGCCCCTCGTTGTTGTTATTTTTTGAGGTTCAAAGAGGATATATCGTTTTTTTTTCTCCTCCTGTAGTTTTTTTTTCAAGGTGATTGATAAACTGCGTTTTCTGTCCCTCGTTGATTTTGCGAAGCTCAAAGAGGATCACTACTTTCTGTTTTCTGTCTTGTAGAATTCCTATCATGGATAAAGTATTATTTTTTTTAATTATTAATATTTTTTCACAGATTGTTTTTACATGAGTCTGTCCGATTTGCTATAAACGTGATGCGCGACTCCAAAAAGTGACTGTTTTCCCGTGTGATAAACAGATTTTATTTTATATTTTCCCCCCAAAGCGAATGTTTTTTACTTTGTAACAGCGTCTCACTTCCTGTCAGACCCATGAATTTGTTGCTGAATTGCTGCGTAGTCCGACTAAAATAGAGCTGTTATCTATCTCAGCCCCCTTGCGTAAAATCGTGTTTGGTGTGATAATCCCCATTGACTTTTAATGAGCGCTAAACGCCACGAGCTCGTCCAACATGATTTTCTTTCGAATCAGACGCAAAATAAGATTTGGTGCGTTCTGAGCTTTAGATAAGTAAAAATAAAATGAGAACATCCCTGTGGTTCCTCCTCTATCAATTCTGGATAACTGGGTTGTTCTGCATTATCCTCACTGCGTCTTTTGTTGTAGTTCTTTTCTTGGGTGGCTGATCTTTTGAAAAATAAAAAGCATAGCTTCTTTTTCTTTTTTTGTGGACCTCCTTTGGGTTTGTGAGTCATACCTGAAAGCTTTAAGAATTTAGATATTTATATTGCTTTAATTAGTCCCAATTTCCAAGGGGGGATTATTCAACTAGACTGAGCAATAATTATTTAACTTGTGAGCAGAACATGGACTAAAACTGGCACTAAAGCAGGTGATTAAACTAGAGCAAACAAGGATTAAGTCCTACTAAAAAAAGCAGTAGATTTAGAGAAAGCAAACCATTTGAGGTCAAGTTGATGTGATCCTACACTCAGGCTGTGTCCTAATGTCTGCTTTAATCACTATAGGGCATTATATAGTGGTTACACCATTTTAAATGAGTGTCTGAACGTCTAGTGGATGAAATAGTAGTGAACTCGAAAATTTCCCACAATGCCCCTTAAAAAGTAGTGATCACCCATGGTCACTAGCCAAGCAGATATATCCTAGACTGCTTTGCTTGGAGAGCTCTCCTCACAAAGCATTATGGGATTTGCTGTCACTAACTAACAGTGCTGACTAAAAACAAAGATTGCGCAGGCACTGCATGGTGGGTCCAGATTTCCACGACCAACGGGGAGTGAAAAGTAGTGATCAAATCCACTATCCCCTCACTATACAGTGATTGAGGGATCTAGGGGTTAGAGCGGACATTCAGACTAGAGACTGACATTTTTTCGGGAATCCCACGGGTCACGGGATTCCCGTGGGATGGGAGTCGTGATCACGTGATTGGGACGGTACAGGATTAAACATTAACGGGAGCAGACGGGAGCTGGAGCAAACCAATAGTAACTAAAAAAAAAAACTAGGATCGATGCCAAAAGATAAAATAAAATAGAAAGGAAAAAAAAATCCAGTACAGGCGCCGCCATTTTGTAGTTTTTTTCCTTGAAGCCTACACTATAATGCGAGTCAAAAAAACTACATGACCCAAAAACCAACAGTGCTTCCGCTCTGAGTGCAGGAGCGGGAGTAATTTCACCAGGAGTGGGACGGGACAGGATTTAGATTTCTACTCTGGCCCGGGATCGGTCCTGTCCCACTCCCACTTTCTGTGGGAGTGGGACAGGACAGGAGTGAAAATCCACTCCTGTGTCTCTAATTCAGACACAGCCTCAGTCTCCACATTGGTCATTTAGGCTAGCTGCTCTATATTCTACTCATATTTACTCAAGTGCTAGATTGCTTATAATCCTCATTAATTTACAATATGAATTAGTCCAGATAAGATAAAAATTCAAATAAAATATCTGGTAATAATGGCTCAGAAATCAGAGTCTTTTTTTAATGTCTGGGCAGCTTTTTCAGCAGTTAATAGGTGGGCTGGTGCAAAAATACGGCCTGTATGAACCCTGCATGTCCTTTTGTCTTAGCACTGAGGTTGTGATGAAAACGCGAACTGGATTTTTATCTGCAGGGTATTTTTATGGATAAATAAGTAGAACGGAGTTGAGTTTTTATGCCCGTCCTTTTTTAGCGTGAAAATTGAGCATATGGATTGTGAGCGTGATGCGTGACACTGTTATGCGTGATTCTCCCGCCCAATGGGTCAGAGTGGAGAGCCCTCCTATATCTGGCTATTATCCATTAACATTTAGATCATTTAGCTTATCAAAATATTATACAATAAGACCTGAGATAAATCAGTAAAGTTTGATCCACCATTCAGATTTTTCAGATAGATATATTAAGATTTTAGATGACCTTGTTTAAAAAAAAAAATGAAGAAAGTTGAATTCATTAAAAGCTTAATTTTAGATATCTAGACTTAAAAATAGGATTTAAAAGTGTTTTGTTATTTATGTTTTTGCCATATTCGGCTGCCACCTTTGCAGCAGTGATAATGGGATGAAGTTATTTTAAGCTGGTCTGGTCCACTTTCAGCGTGCAATGTGAATGCAAAGCAAATGCAATAACGTTTTCCTCTCCAAAACGAGTGGGTCGCGATGCGAAAGGACCATTAACAATTGACATGAAGTCAAGTGTAGGAAAATGCACGCAGGCTAGGGATGATGGTGATATAGTGAAGCACAACAGTACCTAAAGCATTTAATGAGGCAATTTGTCTGATCATAAAAGAGGCAAAGAAAACAGACGGTGGAAATGGAAAAAATGGACATTAAAGTCCATGCTTTCAACGAGGACAAATAATAAGGACGCAGTCAGACTGGCTGTGAGTCCATCTGTGTCTTTTACAATTATAAAAAACTGGTGAAATAATATAGAACATGAAAAACTGAAGCATGTTTTTATCACATAAATGATCAGGCTGGGGTCATTATTTGCAACATATCCCCTTTGATGCAGGTTTGTAAATAATTAATCAATGCAAACTTTTTGCGAGCTAAACGGAAGCAAACGCTTCTCTTGCAGT